GAGTTGTAAAACAGGGTTTACCCTCTAGCCTAGAATAACTAAAAAATCTATACAAAACATGCAAAAGTAACTTTTTTTTAACTTGGACATAAGGACATAAAAAGGAAAACTGGAAAGCATTTTGAACAGAATTAAAAATTATATACACAAGAAAAAGCATGTAAAAATTTGCAGGATACAGCTAAAACATTACTTAGAGGTAAATTTATAGCGTTAAATACACATAGCAGGAAAAAAGAAAAGTCTCACATATTGGCTTCCACTAGAAAAAAAGCAAATCAAACTAGAAAAAGAACAAATTAAACTAGAAAAAGAACAAATTAAACCCAAAACAAGCAGAAGAAAGCAAATAATGACGATTATAACAGAAATCAATGAAATGAAAAGCAGAAAAAAATAAAGAAAAATCAACAAAAATTAAAGCTGGCTCTTTAGGAAAATAAAATTGGTAAACTTTTAGTCTGACTTATCAGCAAAAAAAAAAAAAAAAAAAGAGAGAAGATACAAATTGCCAATATTAGGAGAGAGGTGACATCATATGTATTCTACAGATACTAAAATGATAAAAAAGAAATCATATAAGTAACTTCATGCCAATAAATTCAAGAAACTTCAATTTAGTGGGTGAATCCCTTAAAAGACACAAACTACCAAAGCTCACTCAAGAATATATAGATAAGGTGAACAGCCCTGTATTGACTTGATTTGTAGTTAAAAACCTTTCTTTCCACAAATAAAACTATGGCACAGATGTCTCCCATTGATTAATTCTACCAAGAATCTAAGGGAAAATAATACCCATATACACAAACTCTTGTAGAAAATTGAAGAGGAAATAATACTTCCCATTATATTCTGTAAGGCCAGAATTACAACCAATCAAATACATTACAAGAAAAGAAAACTAGAGACCCATGTACCTCATGGACACATATTTAAAAATCCTAAGCAAAATATTTAGCAAATCAAATCCAACAATATAATAAAAAGATTATACTTTATAACTAAGGGGGGGGTTATCCAATGTATACAAGGTTGATATAATGCTCAGAAATCCATGCAACATACAATATCAATAAACTAAAAAGGTGATAATGTCAGTAGATGCAAAATGGCAATGGACAAAATCCGACATCCATTCCTGATTTTTAAAAGACAACAACCTGGAAAACTAGAAATAAAAAGGAACTCCACTTGTGAAGGAGCATCCACAAAAGACCTATAATCAACATTATATTGAGTGGAGAAAGACATTTCCCCTAAGAATCAGAAAAAAGGCAAGGAAATCTATTATCACCACTTCAACATTATACTGAAGGTTCTAGCAACAGGCAAGGGAAAAAAAAAAAAAGACATCCAGGTGGTAGAGAAGTAGAATTATTTCCATTTGCAGATGACTTGACTGCCTACAGAGAACGTCAAATGGAATTCACATAAAAAGCTACTCGAATAAGAACGTTTGACAAGATTGTAGAATATAAGATCTGAAAAAATCAAGTATACTCCTATATATTAACAATTCACAATGGCATCAAAAATATGAAGTACTTAGAAATAAATCAGAAATATATGTGCAAAGTCCGTTCACTGAAAACTTCAAAAATTCTGTAGACATATTTTCTAAGATCTAAATAAATAGAGATAGATCCCTTGTTCTTGGGTCAGAAGATTCAATATTGTTAAGATGCTCATTCTCCACAAATTGAGCTGCAGATTTAAAACGATTTAAAACGAAATCCCAGCAGACTTATTTTGTACAAATTGACAAGATACTACTGAAATTCATATAGAAATGAAAAGGATCTGAATGCCTAAAACATCTTTGAAAGTGAAAAAAAAATCTAGAGGAAAAACACTACTTCATTTCAAGACTACTTATTACAAAGCTTCAGTAATTATGAGAGTGTGGAATTGACACAAAGGAAGACAAATAAATCAGTGAATCAGAAAAGAGAGTCCAGAACACACATATATACATGCCACTGGTTTATCCAAAGGTTCAATTCAATGGAGAGAGCATAGTCCTCAACAAGTATTGCTGGTACTACTGGATTTCCACCAAAAACAAATAAACAGACAAAAAACACTTTAATGTACATCTCACATCATATACAAAAACTGAGTCGAATGAATGATAGAATAATGTAAAAGCAAAAATTATAAAATTTCTAGAAAAAAAGAGAAAAAAATCTATGTAAACTTAGCAAAGATTTCTTGGATATGACACCAAAAGCAAGATCTATAAAATAATAAATTAGACCTCAAAATTTAAAACTTATCTTTCATAAATAAGAGAAAAAATACAAGCCATAGAAGGGGAGAAAATATTTACAAATTACGTATTTGATGACTTATGTCCAGAAAATATAAAGGACTCTTAAAGCTCAGTGATAACAAATCAATATATAAAATGGGCAAAATATCTGAAGACATTTCACTAAAGAAGATACATAGATGACAACTGTCACAGTAATACAAAACACATTCAGTAATATAAAATTGAAAAATAAAGATGCTAGATCTTCTCTAAATGACAATATCTACCAGATTAAATGCATAGAGAGGAGCTAATTCATTTTGCCCTAGCCACTGTCCCCAGGCTTAATATTGGTCCTCCTGAGCAGATAGAACACTAAAAGTAGTGGTCTCTTTGACTTTATATGAGAATTTGCACCATGACCTCTCTTTTTCCCACCAAACTTTCTCTTACTCCTAAGAGGCAATATAGCAAACACATGCAAGAGTACGGGCTCTGCTTACCATCCCAGATATAACACTTACTGTGTGACACTGGGCACTCTGCTTAACCTCTCTGTGCTCCAGGTTCCTCATCTGCAAAATGGAGATGATACTAGTGTCTACCTCAAATGATTGTGAGAATTCAATGAGCACACACACACAGAAACTTTCAGAACACTGACTAGAAGGCAATAAGCAGCTCAGCAAGCATGAGTCATTATTATCATGCTCTCTCAGAGGCTCAAATTTCTCCTTCAGCTGCAGGAAGCTGAGAATTGTGGAAAGAGCAGCGAAAGCTGGGAAGCTTGTGTCCTAGGTCGGACATCTATCCTGACGGACGGAATTTCACATTGGCTAGATCAATGTTCCCCCTCTCATCTCTAAAATGAACAGGTACAGTAGATGAGCTCTCCAGCATGGTCTCTCTAAAACCTGTACTAATGATATCCCTGCATCTTTTTCTGGAAAATACAGGAAAGGCAGTGGAAAAAAGGGCACACAGGATCAGTCAGGATACAATTAGGGAAAAATGTGAGAAGTATCATAATCAAGGTTAACATTCTCAGTATACAAAGATGTATATAGATCAAGGCCACTTACTGGGAAGCACGGGAGAGAGAGAACATGTAAAAAGGGTTTGTGGCACAGCAAGAGAGGACCACTTTCTCCACCCACATCTTTCTAATTAGTCCACTTTGCCTCAGTCCTGTGGGAGGCAGTGTGGTGTCATGCAGGACCCAGAGGATATCTTCGTGGGTTCTGTTCCAGCCCTGACAATGACTGTGTGATTTACTCTCCGTGCCTCACCTAAAAAATGGAGATGTCAGTAATCCTTCCCTGCCTTTAAAGACTGCTGGGAAGATCAGACTGGAGAATGCATGTAAAGCATTTTAACCAAGCCTGGCACATCAGAGCTACTCATTGGAAGAGTCTCGTGTCCTGCTGCCACGACCTGAGTTCAGCCTACTGTCTCCCACTTGCACTCCTACAGGGCCAAGTCATACCCGTGAATAAAACCTTTTGGTTTCCCTGTGGCTCTTTGGATAAATTTCTAAGTTCTAAGTACAAAACCCCTATGAGCGGATCCCTGCCTACCTGTCTGTCAGGCCTTCCATCTCTCTTTGCTCTCCATTCCTTCTTTCTGTCTCACCAGTTACAGTCAGTGACAATTTGCCACCAAGAAGCCCCGCTCTTTCTTACCTGTGAGCAATTCACTGTGCCTTCCTGTTTCATTTTCAGACAGCACGGCTTCCTCAGAGAAGCCTCCACCCACCCTGAGGTTAGGTCCCCTGCCCACACTCTCAGGGCACAGGCTCCCCTCTCTCGCCTGGCTGTAACCACCACCCTTGTGTTTGCCTTCTCCCTCCCTAGGAGGGTAGGGCCACATCTGCTTCCTTCCTCACTGTATCCTGGATTCAATGCCTGACTCAAGGTAGACACTCCGATGCAAGTCTGACCAGTTAATGATTTAACAAATGAAAGTGGGCACAATTCGGAGAAAGAGGGCAAAGGAAAATTCATGACATAAAATAGGGAAGGAAAAAAGGAAGGGAGGAATGGAGGGAGGGAGGGAAAAAACTAGGGTGAGACCAGGGAATGGGGAAACAGTCCTGAGAACATAGCAAGAAATATCAGTAGCTGGTTTAGGAAAGAAGTTTTAACATTTACAAATCACTCCCCCCACCCCGCACCCTTCCCACCTGCAGGCTGTCAGGTCTTCCAGGGCAGAAAGCCCATCATCTGGAGCAGGCTCTTGAGTTTTTAAAAAAGGTGAATTATGACACTTTTACAATGATAAGTGATCAATCAGGTGGAGCTGTACAAAACTGCCATAAGGGGAGCTCAAGAACATTGTCGATATCAAAACGGTTCATCTAATATAAATAACTTAACTCGCATCACCTTGCAGTCTGTTAGTATATTTTTAAAGAAACACATTTGTGGCTGGGCGTGGTGGCCCAACACTTTGGGAGGCCGAGGCGGGCGGATCACCTGAGGTCAGGAGTTCGAGACCAGCCTGGCCAACACAGCGAAAACCCATCTCTACTAAAAATATAAAAATTAGCCAGGCGTGATGGCATGAGCCTGTAATCCCAGCTACTTCGAAGGCTGAGGCAGGAGAACTGCTTGAACCCGGGAGGCGAAGGCTGCAGTGAGCGGAGATCGAGCCACTGCACTTTAGCCTTGGCAACAAAGCAAAACTACTCAAAAATAAATAAATAAATAAATAAGAAAGAAACGTTTATATTTGTAACACTTACTGTTACTGTGTCTAAAACAGTACTATGATTGCCTTTATTTTGGAGATGAAGAAGCTGAGGCCCAGGGGGTGAAGTAGCTCACTCAAAGTCACAGGAGGAGGGAGGACTTCAACCCTGGTTCGAGTCGGGACCCTCCACCACTGGGCTACACTGCCTTCCGGAACGCGTCCTAAGATTGCGGCTTGGACACAGCGACTGGCCCACGTACACAGCGAGTAAGGAGCCGCTTGGCCGGAACCGGGTGTGCCTGACGCCAAACCCCCTGCACCTCCCCCGACCTCCTTTCTCAGAGTCCAGTGCCTTTCGGCCCCCTCCTCCCCTTCCCACGGCCCCGCCCACTGTACAGACCGGAGCCCGAGCTGGCAAAGGCCAGGCTGCCCGGCCGGTCTGCGGGGCACGTGCAGCAGCGGGCTGCCGGGCGGAGGGCCGGCTGGGGCTGGGGTCCGCCCAAGCGCAGGGAACCGGCAGCGCGGGGCTGGTGCGGGCGGCGAGGATCCTAGGGGACCCGGGACGACGCCCGCAAGGACAACGACAGAGGGCGGAAGGTGGCGGGGGCTTACTCCAGCCCATGGCGCCGCTCCAGTTCGCTGGCCCCGCACGCCCGACCTGACGCCGAAGGACGCCTTTCACCCCTCACCGCCGCTCCTCAGCGCGTCCCCATCGGAATTCGGGAGCCAAGGCAACCGGGACTCTACGGCGGCCGCGCGGGGCCAAGACACGCCGCGTGTCCTGAGCTCCGCGGAGCCGGCGGGAAAGACAGTGGTGAAGGGGCTGGAGGCGGGTGCTTCCCGACCCACACCAGCCTTTGTCCTCGTCCCGCCTGCGCCTGGCCACAGACTGCTTCCCTCTCCCCGAGTCACAGATCCAGACTGAACAAGGAATCAGGACGTTTCTCTTTCCTGTGTCTTCAGGCTTGTCTTCCAGACCGCCGTTGACTTTGCTTTTCCTTTTTGTGTTTGATTTAAAGTTTCCAGAGCCAAGAGGTCTGGACTAGGCCCCCCCACTCTACCAGGGGGATGACCTTACATTTCCTTCTCTTCCGTTTCCACATCTGTAAGATGAGAAATAATAACCTAAGAGGATCACTGTGAAGCTTTACTTAGATAATTTGAGTGCATGAAAGACACTATAAAAACAACTATAAATGTTCATCGTCATTGTCATATTCCATCTTTTTAAAGTCACTGTCCACCCATTTCCCGCTTACGAGTTTTCTAAAAACTCCACCCGTTGTCCCCTCCATCAAATTCCCTATTATCCACTCTCTCAATTGTACAATATAGGAAGTATATCTCCTACAGCCCCACAACCCCCTCACATTTCCCCAGACCCTTCTCTGAAAGTGTCCGACGTGCCTTCTCCCATTCTGAACTAGGAAGCACATCAGCAAGCTCATTCATCCTCAGATGTTAGTGTTAGCACTTTAATGCATTCGCTTTCCAAGAATTTTTTAAAAGTACCATTATTATGAAAGGAATTATTACTCTTTACTCCATTTGCAAAAAACAAAAAGGAGGGGGGCAATATGCAAAAGATAAAACCTTCTCCCATCCCAGTCCTTGTAAACAGTATGGAGTGCGTGCTTCTTATCTTGATACGTGTATTATGTTTGCATTTTAAAAGAAGATTCCTAGAGCAATGCTAAGTGCAAAGAAATTGATTTTTTAAGCAAATAGCTGTTAAGCATTTACAGCTGGCAATTACTAGAGTTCGACAGGTAGAGACAAGGTCGTGAACTTGGACAGAGAGGCAGGAGGGTCTAACAGAGTGAGGTGATGGGGGAAGCAGATGCATCAGTTTCACAATAAAGAGAGCTAGATAGAAGGGGTCTTTGAACAGTAAGAATGAGAGATTAGATCAGGGGTCATGGGGGCCTTAAATGCCAGGCCAAAGGAATTGAACTGGAAGAGTGAGATTTCAGGCACTATCTCCCTGAATATTTGGATTTCCAAGGGGAGAAGTATTTGGATTTCCAAGGAGACCTCCCAAAAGTTACTCAAACTATAAACTTACCTGACATCTACTATTGTTTTTCTGAAAGCAGGACAGTGTGAGATGAACAGTGGGAGCTCTGGCACTGGAAACGTACGTTAAATACACAGATCTATCATTGTGTGGCATCTGACAGATGACTTCACCTTTGAAAGCTGAAACTTCTCTATTTCCACGTGATGATGACAATATGGGTAAACATCTATGGCTGTGCCACTGATAGGTCTGAGCGCTGATTTCTTGCAAAGGAAATGAAATACTCTGAGCAGCAGGCAAGTTTAGCAAATATGCCTGTGCTTGAACTTGTGCATTTTAACAGCAAGGAGCTCATCAAGGTTAAAAAGAATCCAGCTTCTGGAAGGAAGCTGCTATTGGATAGCAAGGTTAGTTTCTAAGCTGACAGAGGCATGAGGTCAGGCCTACTATAAGGGATCTCAGCTTGCAGTGAGCCAGGATTGCACCATTGCTCTCTAGCCTAGGTGACACAAAGAAACTATGTATCTTAATAAAAATGGAAATAATAATAAAAATAAAGGATCTCAGCCTCTGGATCAGGAGGCAAAAGGAGGCAGTCCAGAACCCTAGAAAGTTCTCAAGGGCAGTTGCAACTCAAGTGGTTGATATGTTGGCTCTAAGCTTCTATCCTCACTCTTAGACCTCCTCGCTGTTGACCTAAAAAAAGTAACAGGTAAAATTAATATAGGTAGAGAATTTTATTTGGGCCAAGGTTGAGGACTGAAGCCTGGGAAATACTGGAAAGCGCTCTGGAGAACAAAGTTGAGGTTCCAGTTTCAAAGAAAAAAAGAACTAATCAGGGAAAGGGTGACTATGAAAGTCATTTGTTAGGAATTCTCACTGGTTTACTGAAATAACATTGATTAGTTATTGGCCGTATATTGTTAAACTATAGGAATGAGTCATAATGTCCAGTGCATAGCATTGTTAGGTTAATCTATAGCCATTGATGGCAACACTCAGTCTAGAGTTTGTATGGCAGGCAGCTTAGAAACAATGACTTAGCTTAAAGGGATGGGGGACTAAAACTTGACTACTGTCACATTTCAGTCCCTCTCTGGGCCTGATCATTTAAAGGGGGCTCCCAGTCCTCAGATAGAAAGTTTCCTTTTCTTTCTCATCACTCTTGAACTCTCAATCTTACTTTTAAACTCTCTAGTTGTCAAGGGAGCTGCTGTGGTTTGAATGCTTTTGTTCCCTCCAAAATTCATGTTGAAACTTAATCCCCAATGTAGCAGTATTAAGAGGCGTGGCCTTGAGGAGGTAATTGAGTCATAAGGGCTCCACCCTTATGAATAGGATTAGATGCCCTTATAAAAGGGCTTGCCAAAGGGAGTTCACCCCTTTTCACCTTTTCTATCCCTCTGTCATGTGAGGACAGAGGGTTCCTTTCCTCAGGAGAATGCAGCAACGAAGCACCATCTTGAAAGTGGAGACCAGGCTCTCACCAGGCACCCAATGTACCAGCACCGCAATTTTTTTTTAGACTCAGAGTCTCACTATGACACCCAGGATGGAGGGCAGTGATCATGGCTTACTGCTGCCTCGAACTCCTGGGCTCAAGCAGTCCTCCTACCTCAGCCTCCCGAGTAGCTGAGACTATGTGAGTGCACCATCATGCCAGGCTAATATCTTTTTAGATTTTTTTCTTTGTAGAGATAAGGTCTCACTATGTTGCCTAGGCTGGTCTCGAACTCCTGACCTCAAGAGATCCTCCCGCCTGGGCGTCCTAAAATGCTGAGGTTACAGGCATGAGATACCGCATCTGGTGCCTAGTGCCCTTATACTGAATTTTCAGCTTTCAGAACTGTGAGAAATAAATTTTTATTCTTGATAAATGACCTAGTCTTAGATATTTTGTTATGGCAATACCAACAGACTAGGACATGTGCCTTGGATTTTTCCTGTGTATATTATATCCGTGGGACTCAAGTATTCTGTTCATTCATTCATAAGCGAATAAACAATGGAGCTGTCATTCTACTGGAGAGAAATTTCTAAGATATTTTTAAGCACTGTGTGCTCAACACTGCCCATGTACGTTGAAATTACTAACTCAATTAATTCTCACAATTAACCCTTAAGTAGGTCATATTGTCATGAACATATTACAGATTAGGAAACTGAAGCCCAGTGAGATTATATTATTAAAGCATAGTGAATCAGAATTTTGTGCCTAAACCTTAATTCTATACTGCCTCATTTTTTTTTAGACCCAGAACTACTCGGCAGAGAGGGAATTTTGTGGTTGCTGTTTGTTTCCATCCCTGAATCCTAGCTCTCAGAACAATTCCTGACACTCATTGGGTGCTCGATAAATATTTGTTGAATGATCGAATGAATGAGTCAGTGAGCCAGTTTCTTCAAGAGCTTGGCTGTCTTGGATGTAAGGACCACATCTTTCTCACTTCAGTAGGATCACCAACCACAGAGGTGTCCCTGTTGTTAAGGGATCTAGCAGGCTTACCAGGAAGGGTACCTCATTCTCTGGTCCTTAGATAGTTCCTTTTCTTGAGACCTTTTCGCCAAAATCTAATATAAGATCTGGTTCCAGGGGCAGGGTTTGACAGATTGTCCTGTCACTCTGGTGGAGCACTCCAGTCCTGCCACTCTGGAGGAGATTGTCTCCACCCCAATCTCCTCTTGTAGTGCCCATAATTCCCACATGTTGTGGGAGGGACCTGGTGGGAGATAATTGAATCATAGGGTGGGTCTTTCCCATGCTGTTCTTGTGATAGTAAATGGATCTCACAAGATCTGATGCCTTTAAAAGCAGGAGTTTCTCTGCACAAACTTTTTTCTTTGCCTGCTGACATCCATGTAAGACATGACTTGTTCCTCCTTGCCTTCTGCCATGATTGTGAGGCCTCCCACATCACGTGGAACTGTAAGTCCAATTAAACCTCCTTCTTTTGCAGATTGCCCAGTCTCAGTTATGTCTTTATCAGCAGCATGAAAACGGACTAATGAGAAAAGCTTTGGATGATAAAGCAGGGAAGCCAGTAATATCTGCTTTGCGGTTTGTCATGGGCCAGGCAGGGGTGATTATGCTGTCTTTCCTTAACCCAACATCACAGTCACTGTGTTTCTTAGAAACAGAGGACCCACGGGGTATGAAGGACATGTGTACAATGTGCTGTGATTGTGACAGTCCACTGACACGGAGGACAATTGGGAAATAAATCACAATATGACAGCTCTAAGTAAAATCAAGTTCATTTCACTCAAAGTGAATGAAATTGTTTCAAGAGTTGTGACGTGTGTCTGTTTATGCAAATCATTATTCCAAATAGACTTATTATTTTTTTTTGGCTGCTGGAACTATAACAAGATGAGCTGTGCTTCCTGAAAAAAAAAAACGGCTGCAACATCTTGTGTATACAAGTAGAAAAAATAAATCTTAAAGAGTTTGTTTTTTTTTATTAATTCCAGTAACAGCAAAATAGTACTCCTACTTCTTTTGTACTGGATAAATTCCAGGGACATTGGCCTAGAAAGTAATTTAGTTCTTTTTATTTTTATTGTAGTTTATATACTTTAGTATTTTTTTTATGATGTGTAACCGATACTGTGGCTACAATTCCACATACTTTGCATTTATTTTCCTTCAGAAAAGTTTCTTCTTTGCAACTTTATGAAAAGTAAACCAAGCTCCCAGTTTACCAGCACCTCTGCAAGTCTCAGTTCCTTC